TTATTCTTTGACAATAAATGGGCTTTTGTACAATAGGTTATATAGGAAATGATTCGGGACTTTGATATTTTATGATTATAAACAGGATATCCTATAAAGTGGTATGACATTAAGTGGGCAGCACTGTCCCACCCTTATCTACCACTGTTTGGCGTTTTTTTGGTTGACCATTAGTATAGCGAGTTGCTGCTTTTACAGGCAATTCATGTCTTGGTGGAACCTCAAAATCAGATTTTCAAATAAGTCTCAGCAAATAGAGCCAAAGTCTTTTATTAATGCATAGTCACACCTGATGTATGTCCCCCAACCCCAGATTCATTTCCATCAAAGTGATGCTTTGACATTTTTTTGATGAGAGCAGGTATTGACATACAGCCAGACTGGTTCGCTTTTCAGCAGCTGCTTTTTTTTTTTTTGTTGAAGATCATTTATATTTTGATCAGAGTTCTTTCTTTTCCAGTCAGGTTTTCCTTTTTTTCCCCCCCAATGCACAGTGACAGTTTGCCACATCAGAAGCTTTTTTTTCCTCCTTTAAAAAGAAAAAAAATCATTTAACTTACAGCTTTTTTTCCAAGTCTGGTGTCTTTGAATGAGTTTCGCAATATGGTCTCATTTATTCTTGTTCAATTCTAAATAGATTAACACCTCTGGATCAATTTACAAAAAAAAAAAAAAAAAGCCATTAAAGGTAATCCATCGCAGTGAATGAAAAACTGACAGGACATGTCACAAAACTCCATCAGCATTAACTGAAGGCGAGGTTCATTGTTTCATATTAACATTTACTTGTGAGATAAAGTGAATCAAACCTTTCTGAAACATCCCTGATGGAATATGTTTATGAGGTGCAGCTGAATCACTTTAATCATTTTGAGTTTGGTGCACAAAGAAGTGAATCATTCTTGCAAATAAATGTCCTATACACTGTCACGTGTTTGTTTGGTGACCCTACAAAATAAAGCAATGTCTACTTACAACCTGTCGTTGCACGTAATGGTCTCATTGTGGTCGTGGGCTGTAAACTGGGATTTTTCTCTTCCAATTTCGGCCCATTTTACGGACTTTAGAGGCCAACGGATATGAGGCTTTATTTTTTTATTTTTATTTATTTAT